GTGAAATAGTATAGACGGAGGAGAGAAAAAGACCTAGGACAGGACCCTGAGGGACCCCTATTATTCCAGGGCAAGATCTGGAGGAGGATCCAGAAGGGGGGCCAAGAAGGAGCAATCAGAAAGGTAGGAGGCAGCCCATGAGACAAACTGATCAACACGTATCTAAGGCTGCAGAGTGATAAAAGAGAATAAGGATAGAAAAAAGGCCATTGGATTGGTAACAGTTTTGGTGGCCAGAAGGTCAGAAGCTGGAAGGTAAGAGGTTAAGATTAGATTTGAACAATCATAAATTAATTAAAAATTGTTTCTGGCAGGCTTGTGCCTACAACATGGAGCACAGTATTAGTATTATTTTTTAACCTAACACCATTATCTGCTTGTTCCTATCCTGCAGAATACCTAGAATCACGTAACTATGCTGACTGGGTTTTACCCAATTTCAACTGGGTCCACCCTGCCGCACACCAATGATTTTACCCTTCCCTGATAAACACTATCTCACTCTCCAAAGGAACTTTTCCAAAACTTTTTTTTTCAAACCACCTCCCTGCTTCCTCTCAGCAAAGAATCTCACCTCACATACTTCACTGAAACATCCAGGGTTCCCTTTCCTCCTTAGTTCCATACTTCAAATCACTTTAACATCCTCCCCAATCATCTCCTTTGTGGCCCAGTCTCAGGATGAGGTGGTCCTTCTCTTTGCCAACGTCCTTGTCCCCTCTACTTGTACCCTCAATCCCATCCCTGTCCTATACGCCCCAAGGGCTTGCCCCTTTGGTAATTCCTTCTCTCCCTCATTTTCAACCTATCCTGATCCACTGGCTCTTACCAATGCTGCTTGCAAACATACTCGGATCTCCTCATCTTTAATGAATCTTCACTTGATCCCTTCATTCCTCAAAGCAATCATCCTTCCTTTCACAGCCACACTCCTAGAAAAAATTCTCTACACTCTTATACTCCACTTTCATACCTAACGATCACAATCTTTAAATTGAATAACATGGCAGCATTTTAATTTCACCCCACCCTGACAACCTGTTATTTCTCATCAGAAATAATAAGACATTAGCCAAACTGAAGAGTCAGTGAGTGGTTTAGCCAATATATTGGGAATGGAGGAGATGGTAATCACAGTCAAACATAGTAGAGAGATCAAGAAAGTGGAATTTCTGAGTTTGAGAGTTCAAGAACTGGCCTTCTAGAGAGGTTCACAACCTAGAAATCTTCCTTGATTACTCATTTTCACTCATTCTCTACCCCCTTAACATTTCTCATATCTGTCCCCTTCAATCTACTCACACCACAACCTCCCTAAACCTCTATCCTAGACTATTCAACAATCTCCTAATTGGGACCCCTTGCCTTCATTCTCTCTCTTCTCCATCAATGTATCCTACACACTGTGGCTCAACTGATATTGTTGTGGTCTAGGGGTCCTGGGAACCCCCAAAATGCAAGAGCAAAGGGCGTGGGTCTGCCTCGAAAGAATTGGACCACTCAAGCCTTCTTCAGTGCAAGTAGTTTAGTAAGCACTGGTTGGGATGGATGAGATTCCCAGTGAGTCTGTGCATTTGATAGAGACAAGCCTGAGGTTTTTTTATAGGGAAAAAGATTGTGGGAAGATTTGGATGGGAATAAGGAGTGGCGAATAGCCTGGGGATAGTCCAGAGGTAACAGAGAATTAGTTGGGCTGAGGTCCAGGGCGCCACAATGAAAGGACAATTCAAGGGGAAAGTTCAAGGGGGGGGGAGGAAGAGGTCCAGAGCCCACACCCCATCAATATTCCTAAATTACAGGTCTGGCCATGTCACTCCTGTACTCAAGAAGCTTCAGTGTTTTCCTATTGTTTCTAGCATAAAATTATGAACAAACTTTTCTGTTTAGCATTTAGAACCCTTGACAATCTGGCTCCCAACTACCTTTCAGGGCTGATTACATATTGTACCCCTCATGCACTCTACAATCTAAACCAGCCAGTTGATATTGTCCATACAAAACACTAAATCTCTTGCATCCAGGCCGTGGTACAAGTTGTCCCTCATGTCTGAAATGTTCTCTTTCCTCATCTCCATCTCTTGAAACTAGCAGCTCCCTTCAAGGCTCAGCTCACAGTATTACCTACCTCAAGAGGACTTTCTTGATTCTGCCAAGTGTTAATACCCCCTCAATCAATGTATTTATTTTGAAAATATCCTATATTTATCAACTAACATGTTTTATATCCCTATCAGAACGTGAGCTCTTTAAAGGGAGGAAGTGCCAACAATTGCACCCCACATTTGAGCATAATGTAGTAGGAAACCAGGCAGAGTTACTGATAGAAAATGGAGGGCTAGCTACCTGGTAAAGTTCTGAGCCTTCTGTAAAGGACTTGAACTAGAGGCCCTAAACACAAGGAGGCAAACTGAACCTCACAGGTATCACTCAGACTAGATGGGTGAGATGCAACTATGACTTAACTAGGGCTCTGGATAGGTAACACAGTAGTTTGGGGGGGGGGGGGCAGGATCTTAATCCCTTTAAAAGGTACATTTAGGGAAGCAGCATGGTGTAGTAGAAAAGAATGCTGAACCTAGAGTCGTAAGACTTGAATTTGAATCCCAAGTAGGCCACTTTCTACTTCATCACCTCATCTATAAAGGAAGGAAGCTGGATCTTTCTAAAGACCTTTACAGCTCTAGATCCATGATTCTATGATTCGATATAATTTTGTTAAAACTTCAATAATAAAATTCAGTATTAGACTGAAGCTCAACTACCTGTATGCTTGACTGGCATTATCCCAGATAAGTCACTTCCTAGAGCTGGGTAATTTCAAGAGAAGTCACTTAAACTTTTCTAGGCCTCAGTTCCCTAATTAGTAAAATGAGAGTATGGACTAAATGCCCTTTAAGGTCCCTTCCAGCACTAGATCCCATCCCCTTTTAGTACTTTTTGGGGTTAGGTTCAAAGTTATAAATAATAGTAAACACAAGATTTATTTCTTCTTTTAAAAATGCTACTTAAAAAGCACTTTTCCAGAGAAAAGAACAATTGTGACTGAAGTGGAAAAAGTCATCAAAGACCACAATACTAAATGATGCATAACACAGTTTTAAAGTATGTGGACCATTCCCAATATATTGGCTAAACCACGCACTGACTCTTCAGTTTGGCTAATGTCTTACTATTTCTGATGAGAAATAACAGGTTGTCAGGGTGGGGTGAAATTAAAATGCTGCCATGTTATGCAATTTAAAGATTGAAGTTATACCTGTTTGTAAATACTAAGCGTAGAGCTTAAAAAATGTAAACACTAATTGTATTATAATTATTGTCTTCTTATTCAAAAGAATTCAAGCAGTTAAAAAAAATGATTGTTTCTATGACGATTTAAAATGTCCTTAAGTTTTAAATTACAGGAGGGTTACATTTTAATCAAAGTGTAATAGCTAGCTGTGGAAACTTTAAGTTCACAATGGAAATACCTGTAACTAACATCTAAAGATGTCATCAGGTTCGTTCCTCCTGTTCTGATAGCTCCACAAAATATCTTATCTGCTTACATAAATTAATCCCAATTTCTTGTTTTCCTTTGGAATTTCCAAAACTATTTATTTCTTCCTATGGACAAAGAAAAACCAATACATTTGCCTAACCTTAATTCCTAACATTATCAACCAGCACCACTTCAAAGTATCCCGATTTTTCTGGCAGCTCTCTCAACATACCTTTCAGAGGGTACCTTTAAGTTCCTAAACACTTTCTTTTCACCATAAACATTTACAAAGACTTCAAGCCAACTAATTTTCAGCTACAGAAATAACAAAAGAAAAAAAAATCTGAGGCATAAGACAACCGGTTCCTGAAAATTAGTTAAATATTACAAGTAAATTATACACAGATGTCTTTACTGTTGAACAGATAGGACATACCCTTGTTATTATTAGAATCCTTTCTCAAAAATAAAAGGGGTTCGAGCCCTCCGGAATATCTGAACTAATCTTTTTTTTTTTTAAAGAGTATAGGAAACTCTCAAATTTGAACGCATTAGTTATTATACTTCCCCTCGATAAGTGACTAAGTTTTACATGACACTGACATCGCAAGCCAGCTGGGGAGAAACTCGAACACTCCCTTTTCCCTATACTGGATGACTCAACTCTCTTTGGTAGCCACCCTAGCTGCACAATCACGGATTTCAATCCTGTACTTCTTTTGTCCTCTGAACGGCCCAGTAAGGCTTTCGGCTCCCATTTTTCTCCCGTCGAGGTTGTGACACGCCTCCCCAAGGTCTGGGGAGAGGGGGCGGGGGAATGAAGGAACCGAACAAGTCCGCACACATTCAGTAAGCGCCTCCTGTATGCCAAGCTCCGGGGACACAGAAGCAAGGCAGGAGAGTTGGTGGAGACGACGTCCCGGGCCCGGGGTGACAGCTGAGTATCTGGAGGACCTCGGCTTGCAATGACAGGGCAGCGGCCAGGGCCGCGGGGAGAGAGGAAGGAGCACGTGGGGCTCCCGGAATGAGGGCCACTAGGGCCCCGGGAAGGGCGCCCCGAGGTCCCGCGGCCATCGCCCCGGCTGTCACGGCCGCTCCGGCCACCCACGTGTCCTTTCCCGAGGGAGGCGGCGGGTGTCCGGGGAGGGGGGACGCCCGCGGGGTCGCTCTGGGTCGACAGCCCAAAGGTCAGCGGGGGGCGGGGCAGGGCGAGACCCCGCCCCTCCTCCATCCCCCCATCTCCCTCTCCCCCCCCCCCGGCTCCGGCCGCCACGTTCTCAATGACACCGTAGTAAATACAGCAGCTGTAACGGCCGCCGTGGGGAAGGGGGTCCGGGGGGCGCCCCGCGACCGCCACCAACACACCCCACAGCGCGTGCGCCCCCGCCCCGCCCCTCCCCCTCACACCTCAGAGGGCGCGCGACCCCCACACCCCACCCCCCCCCGGCTCTGAGGCCTAACCCCGAAGAGTGACAAGCCGGCCGCAGGGCCCGCCGCGGCGACAGCCCTCGGCTCTTACCCGCTGCAAGATCCGCCGGAACATGGTGGAGCTCGGGCCGGGGCCGGGGCAAGAGGGCGGCGGCCGCTCGGGCAGCCTCCACGGCCCCTCACTCAGCCGGCCTTGGAAGAGGGAGCGCGCAGTCGCGCGACTACTGACAGCGGGGGCGGGGGCGCCACCTCCCGGCCCCGGGCGGGAAGAGGGAGCCCTGAGAGGCCGCCCGGACCCTCCTCTGGGGGCGGAGCCGGCGGCAATGGCCAATCCGGGCCGGCGGAGGCGGGGTGTGCGCCCGCCTCCCCTCAACCCCCAAGCGTGGGCTGGAGGCTGACTGACGGGCCGGCGGACGGAGCCTTCCGGCGGGCGGGCCGGACTTTGGTGGCTGAATGCGCGTGCGCTCTTCTCCCCACCCCGGCCTCTCCTGAGCCGGGGGCGGGGCGCGGGACCGCGGCTGAGCCAACCCAGCCTCGGACCTTCCGGGGCTCGCCCCAGGCAGCCGGGGCTGCGGGAGCTCGGAACCTTGTGGGGCAGCGTCTGCGGCCACCCCGATGCTGGGGTCCTGCAGCCCAGCGCTGATGCACCCCCACAGAGAAGCCCGAGACTCCCCCTCCTCCCACCCCGCTCCCTTTCTTCTCTTTTCCTGCCTCGGGCTGGCGAGTCCCCACGGAAAAGATGGGACTCCGCCGGGGCAGAGGACTTTGGAATGGTCACTTTTTATATCATGGATTTTTTTTTTCTTTTTTGGACGGCATCTGTCATTTCACTGGCGTGGGAAACTCCAACAATGCGCATTTCACACGCACACACATCCAGGCTGTTCTGTCTCAGTTTCCTGGGACTCTGAGAAATCGAATGACCAGCCTTGGGTCACGCGGCCAGAATGTGTCAGAGGTGGGACTGATTCCAGAAGACTTCGGCCCTTTGACTCGCCAAGCCAACCTGCCTCTCCTTTAATCGAGTCGTGCTCACTCAGATAGATGTTCAGCCTACTTTCAAACGCCATGCTCTGCCCCCTTCATCCATGATGCTGGTATTGCCCAAAGTTTGGTCCTTACCTGCATGATCTTAGGCAAATCATGAAGCTGCTC